CTCCCCCCCCCCCCCACCCCCCACCCTTGACGTAGAGGAAAGTGATAACCGTGCATCGTAGTTTTTATAGGGTTCACATTAACTGACCTTCATTTCGAAATGCGTTTGTAGCGCCCTCTTGGGGCCCCTGGGGCGGATGGTCAACTTGCACAAGGACATGTGGCGGCGGTACCCGGTCCAGAGACAGAGCCTGTGAAAGCGGTTCTTCATGCGACGGCGTGTCTTCCGAGACTCAGGAGTGTAACACCAATGAGTGCCCAGGTATATGGTGAACATGCATCGTCATGCATGTGCTTTGACTCTGATTACAGAGCATTAAAATTATGTTACTTAGAAAAGTGTGTTGTTCTCTAACCTTGCCAACTTTAACTTCAAATACTTTGGATTGGTCCGAGTATGATCACAATTCTGTAGTGTAGGTGACGATAAGTTCCATGTGGAACCAATTTGATATTATATCGTCAGAGACTTGAAATCATTTATGATACACGTGAGTCATCTGGTTTTTGTACTTAAATAACCATCCGTTGTGCCACTAGAAAAAAAAAGGGAGTCGCAAATAAAAGAAATAAGCAGTGCAAGTACTGTAATCGATATTTGTCGGAGGTAGAAATTGAATAGTTACCGTCAGTGACAACAACAATTACATAGGCCAATGTGGGTAGTTTGTTTACAATCTATATGCATTTCAAAAAGTTCTTGCAACGGATCTAAGAAATTTTTGTTCTTTAATTCTTATAAAACGTTGTTTGAAATGTATTTTCTCAAGTTTTGCTTCCTCTGTTACAAATATACCCAGTATGTACATGATGACACATAACGGTGTTTTCTGTCACTATTATTTTTATTCAAGCAAAGCGCGTTTTCCATAAATCCGATCTTTTTCTCTGATTTCAGTATCTTCCGTGGACGGTAATTGGGGTGGCTGGGGACCTTGGTCTGCATGCAGCGCCACCTGCGGTTCCGGAAAAAAGACTCGAACCAAAGCGTGCGATAACCCAGCGCCATCTAACGGTGGATCGTGGTGTTGTTATAACGGCTGGTGTCAGTTTAACAGTTTGAAAAGCACCGAGTTCTGTAACGCTGGCCCATGTGGTGGAGGTGAGTTCAAAGTATTCCTCAGTTGAAAGTGCTTCTTGAGACAATGGGTATACTTTTTATTTTAATGGACCTGAAATGATAGATGATATTTATTGTTTATTTCTATACTTTCATGCCCACATCACCTATTTATAGAAGGTTCCAAAAATATTTTGGAAAACAACGTTTGTCAAGTATTGAAGCAAGCCAAATGCTTTATTTCTCCTGCTTCTAATTACGTACGGCGGTGATAATAAATTTCTTTAGAACTAAGTAATTTGATAGAGATGGTACAAACTGGCCGCCGTTCGTATCTTTACGTTATGAGCTAATGCATACACCACTATTTTAATTGATCTGAGATGATTTTCAAGGTTCACTTTTATCTCTAGGTTCGTGCACAGATAAAAGATTCTGCAGAACCTTTGACAGAAGAATTTTCAAAATGTACTGCGTAAAGTCAAAGGCTTTGAAAGATTTCTGCTGTTTGTCGTGTAGTGGTGTCTGAGACCTGGACTGTGAACAAAAAGTAAGTACTTTTTAATACGGTACAATCAATGTATTATATCTGCTCAAGTGAAACGGGCTTTATATCTATCGCTCTCTTGAAAATTCGTGTTTTATATGTACTTAGTACCATATACATTTAAAACTTATATTGTGGTCTTTCATGATGATATTGTAAAACACCTTTAATATAATATATTATTTTATTCCATATTTTAGGTCGAACAACGATTCAAGACAAAAAGACAGGAAAACGATAAAAAGGAATCAAATGGACTTTCAGAGCTTCTACACTTTTGCAGACGCGTTGTTTAAAAAATGTGAAAAGATTCTGCATGATAACCTTATACAGTTTGTACTAGTATGATTTATTGAACAGCAGTCCGTCACAAACTAGCAAAGCAGAGTAGACCCTCACAACAATCACACCAGTAGCAGTACCGATATTTTGTTGTACGGATCGCTGTTTTACTGCGTGCATAATATCCTTAGATAGAATCTTTATGAGATACCACAATCTCACGCTATCCACGCCTTTAATATGTATGTATGTATAAAACTAAACTGAACTGCGGCTTAATTATCACAATTATTTCTCATTTAAGGTTTGATGATTAATTCTTCTTATACAGTATGTGCTAATTGCACTCTGTTAATTCGTATCATATTACAAAACCCCAAGATTTATATACATGGAGGATAATACATCATTATATTATTTTTTATGACAACTTTTCCTTACATCTTTTACTCACGTTTTTTAAATCTCAGAGATTTTTGAGATAGTCTTTGAAATAAAATACAGGCATCTTTTCGTTTTAAAATGATAGTGTTCTTTAGACTTAATGTGTGTGTAGTGTTGTTGCCATGCCTTTGCTCATAAAATATGGTAAATTATTTCATAGTTCTATGAAATATAGACTTATTGTGTGGTAAAAATGCGAATTGAAATGATGAATATGACGACGTCTTTTTAATGCAGTGAAAATATATGTATTACACGCATGTGTAATTATATCTAAGTTTATAATTAACTAAATAATGTTTAATGAAATCAGCTCTAAAACATACGAGATTGTAATCAGAGGTCTAATCAAAATGTAAAGCCGGGTGTTTTCAAAGAGTATATCCTCCGGTTGACGTGAGTAAGTTAAAAAGAAAAGAAAACCATAAAAATGCGTTTCTTATTTTTTTTTATTCTATTTTATTTTATTTTTGTTTGTTTGGTTGGATGGATGGACAGACACATTTATTTCACATTGCCGATTTGCAGGAAAGTATCAAAATATCAAACTGAAAATTAAAACTAATAACATAAACAAAATAAATTAAAAAAGCACATGCATATAGGGGAAGAAGGGGAGCGTTACCATAAACATTTTCGTTTACTGAAGTATTGTTAGTCAATTAATTGCCTTTCTTCCCAAAATTTCGATGAAATTTATATTAAATAATTTGATTAAATGATTAAATGATTTGATTAAAATCGCATCAAAGTTAAATTACAAAAAAAAAAAAAAAAAAAAAAAAAAAAAAAAAAAAAGATCCCGTTCAAGTTGCTATTTACTGCTGAAGAATTTTCAGGAAAATAAGACAGTCATTCTATATGAGCACGTTAGTTACGATCTGCTACAGTAGGAATGACAACAAGCTGAAATAAAGACCACTTATTGAAATAAACGCGACGACGCGCGGTTTGTGATTTAATTGAACTGTTAAATGAATTTATTCTGATTGAAATGTATAGACGAAAAGTGAACTCGCATTTTCATGGTCGGATTAATTTTTTTTAAACACAGTTAAACCAATTTGTTTACACAATAAGCTAATAATAAAGCGTAAAAAGATGTCATAGTCGTAACTTTCAACTTATACTTATCGATGAGTAATCTATGTTTCTTGTTATATTACCTGACACTTTTAACCTGACTTTTAACCCCACATAATCATACAAGGAATTTCAACAACAATCCAAGAGACGGAGTTTCGATCAAGTCCAGAGTTTGACTGCAAATATGAATTCGTGCATACCAACACAAGAAGTGGCTCTTCTTGCGCGAGAGTGCAAACAAAAATTACGTCCTTGTCAACATTTGCTGTTGCGTTTAAAGTTATCAAATGAAGATCGTGGTCATTTTACCTTGTTTCACGGACATTCGCCGGACATCACGTCGTTAAAACTGAAGTGGACCGGCAACTTGATGTGCTTTGCAAGGGGGATAAAAAATTCATGGACAAATGATGATGTCACTTTCGAAGCACCCTTCAAAAAGGAGCTTTTTAAGCCACAATTGTCATTTGAATAATAATAATAATAATAATAATAATAATAATTATTATTATTATTATTATTATTATTATTGTGGGCATTAACAGCAAGGGAAGGGAATCTCCGGCGAGAATTTTTTAAACGCCTTTTGGTCCTCTCCACAACAGGTAGATAAGTATAAAATTATCTTCAGCATGGGTCATTTACATTCGAAAAATCATATCTTTTCATATTGACAATATGTTAGAACGTGAAGTTCTACACGACTTTTGTCCATTAAAGTCTATTTCCACTGCTGAGGTTATATTTTATACTTTCTGCAAAATTAGTATTGGGGAGACAAGTAAATGTCTTATACATTACTTGAAGTACAGTGCCCATACCCTGGTCACATAATCAAACTAAAAAGCGGACCACTCATATGAACACTGATTTAAACATTCCGCAACATTTTGATCACCCCCCCCCCCACCCCCACCTAAATTCACTTCTTAATAAAGAGGTCCCACCAATGGTCATGACCCATGCCTCAATGGGGGCCTATAAAAGGTGTAGCCAGTAGCCCCAGCGGCACCAGAAGTGAATGAGATATGAAAATGAAGAGTGGTTTGCCCCTATGTGTGTTCCTTCTAACCGTGACAGGGACGGTGCTGGACGCTGCTTATATCACAAAAATAGATCTCGGCGATGTCCGTAAGTTATTTTACTTCAGTTGTTGCTCTTTTTAGTTTGTTGGATTGTAATTGTAATTTTTGTCGTATAGTTTTTGTCTTTATTTTTATTTTAGTCGTCAGACTACTCTAGATATGTTGGATATACATGTATTAGTAGTATCTGAAATCAACCATATTTCAGCGGTTAAAGAGAGTTTGAAATCTGCATGGTTCCTTAAAACCAAATACTGCCATTTGCGCGCCTCTTGTTTATCTAAAGCAATTTTTGATATTTCGCTTTAAGAAACTCATTCTCGTACTAAAATTGAGCAATTCGATAAGGAAAAGGGGCTGAAAACTATGTTATGTTTCAATGGATGGATCTTGCGCTTGGCTTGGCAAACATGATTGCTTTAAAAATTGATGCAAAGTTGAAAAACATATAAAAAGTGTCCCTTCTTCGAGCTGTCGTCTCATTTGGTAAAACTGGGCACTGGGTTTGCTTTCACTGTATAAAGAGGCAGGCAAAATATTCTTTCTTGAGAGATAAAATAAATTAAAGGAATCAAGATATTAATATCATAACAGAAACATCACTTGAGGACCTATTGAATTTGAAATCATAAAAATATAAAACTGGCAAACAATAGATTAAAATAATTAAAAAAATACATACATTTACTATTTACGTGTGTATTTTAGAAGCCCAGGCTGTGAAGGTCCGAGAACTTGCTCCGGATATAGAAGCCATTCCTGCTGAACGAGATTTGAACGCTGCCAGCGACCAGCTTGAGCCTTTCCTTCGGTACCAGTTCGAAGCTCACGGCAAGAAATTTGACCTTCAGTTGGAGAAAAATAAGCACGTGGACGTCAAGAACGCGCCCGTCTATTATGTCCAGGAGGATGGAACAGTAGTAAAGAAATCAACACAAAACAATGATGTATGTATTATATATGTACTTCAATATGATATACAGTACTTTAGCTATATGCAATTATAAATGTGTACTTATTTTCATTAGTATGTAAACTGATTAATATTTGTGCTTGTTTATTTACTGCTATTCAGATAAACCTTTAAATTGAGAATGCTTTTAATATTATGCTTGAAAAATATAACGGACTTTGTGAGAGAAAGTCAGAAAAAGGCGGAGGCAGTAATAACTTTGGCGTGGACGAAACACCGTGTGTTGAATAATCGGATAAGGGGAAATCTATATAGGGCTCGTTCCCAATAAAACTATCGGTCTACTTAGATCGATCCAAATCCGCAGGGACTCTTGCGCTGAATGCAATCAGTTTAACATATTAACACGCCTCCTCCTGGCGTTGAGTGGAATACAGAAAAGCTGGTGTGTTAATTTGTTAAAGAGAACGCAATCAGCAAGAGTTTCCGTGTAGGTTTGATTGATCTACGAAGACCGATTATTTCATTGGGGTTGAGCCCATACAGTAAATAAAAGTAGCGAAAATGAGATTAGACTCAATGCAATTTCTGTAGAAAACATATGAATGGAAAGTAAACACTGGCGCTCACTTAAACTACATGTAGTAACTTCTCATGTGTCAACGACAGAATATACATCGTGCCATGTTTGAGTCGAAATTTGATTTATGTAGCCAAATGTTCACAAGCACAACGAAGCTCTTTTTTTTTGCTCCAAAGCAAGTAAGATAAGTCCATATGACCGAAAATTGTCATTTATTAATGACGAAAACTAATAAGATACAAAGTTACAAAACTGGGGAGGTAATATAACATCCCCCAAACTATATAAGTGCCATAATATAAAAATAATAAAGTATATTAATGAGTGTAACCAAGATTAATTAAGAAAAATATGACAAGAAAATTGATATTTGCACATTTTTCTCCAGGACTTCGCTATGTATCATGACAAGAAGAATAATGCTGCAGTGGCAGTTTCCAAAGTTAACACAGATGGAAAGACCAATAAGCGAATGGTAAGTTGTACATGTATTAAGTTTCTTTGGTATATATAATACTTTTCATTGTAATATAGGCCTATTTACTTCCAATCGGATGCCAATGATATTGGTATAAATTACATAATTTACTTTCTTTGTCATGAAAAAGCAACGCATAAATGCATATCATTTGACATGCTAGTTGCTCCAGTTACCAATTATCTCCATAAGAGATCCTAAGTCCATTCATAAGATGTTTGATATTTACAAAATGTCTGCCAATTAAATCACTGTCGCCAGCGCTCGGTACTCGCACCAAAAAATCCAAATATTTAGTCCGTTTGATATTATATCATGCATTTACCATATCTAAACACGTTGGTCCGAGTAAGGGTCAATTACAGAGGTAAAGTGGTGGAATTTGGGGCCCTTAGCATAGTTTGTAGAGGTGAGTGAGAAGTATAGGGGGTTGAGCTTTCATAAATCAACATGGCTGGTATATTGAATACGATATATAGGCAATCAAAACATTGGTATGATGATCTGGCGAGGGATACATTACCTCTTTCTCTCTTCGCCTTGACTACGGATGTGTAAGATGAGAACCGTGGAAACTAAAGCTGTTGGGATGGTCTAAATATAGAGTACAAGTGTGTTCCATTTCAAAGATGATCCTGCCCTGGTAAGGTCCAGATGGCGTCAAAAATTGCAACAAGTTGGTTTTTGATATGTCATTTGATTGTGTTATAAAAACGACTATTTTGCTAGCATCCCTTGTCGATATTCTTTTAGATGGTTATTTCTTTGATTTCTTAGATCTCTTTACCTGTTTTTATTTGAGTGTACATACATACAGACATGTAGAAAGTAATTTGCAAAACCTTCCTTACCAGGCATTGTGAAAAATATACTCGAGGTTGAGGACAAAATGTTTCAGTAAAATAAACATGCATGTACATGTAGATAATCCGCCCTACATAAGATTCATACAAAGTTTACTTCTGCATAATTACTATCTCTTAATTTACTAAAACAGGGTCTGTAAAGTGCATTCCTCTCAAATAAATATCGCCCAATTAATTTTAACATCATGTTTTGTTGAATAGGAAGGGTTTGTCATTGACAATAACGACATGTTCGAGATGCGCCACCTGAAGGACGACGAATACCTTGTCTTCCGGCAAAATATTGAGGCCAAAAAGCCAGGTCCAGAGGTGCGGTCTTTCGACGACACTTATGAGAGTAAGTATGAGCCATTGATATTCATTATGAAAATTTGTCAAAACAGAATCGATTGTGGAAACTTTTAAGTTTAAGTCATTAAAATTACATTACAGATACTGTGAATGAATGCATCCGTTTAGGATATTTGAATGAAATCCAATAAGTAGAAGAATATTTAAAGTTAAAAAAACTGCACTTAAACAGACAATATTCAGATATCATATAAATAATCGAATTGAAGAAATCAAATAAAACGTGCATTACAGTTTAAATTACAGTAAAGGGCGAATCGTAAATGGAAGGCAAACCTTCCGAATACCAAATATATATTGCCATTCAGAATACTATAAACTGCTTTTAGTTTAAAGAATGCTAGTATGTAATAAGAAAACTGCATTTCAGGGGAAACAAGCAGACGATCGCTAGATATTGTTTCAGATAAGACAGCGAAATCTAATGGAGGGTCCGACTTGCTGCGCAATCTGCTAGAAGTGTTGGAAACTGTTAAGAACAAAAAATCGGAAAAGGACGTAGAGTTGCAAAGGAAGCAGACGTCATTTAGTAGCAACCACATCAACGCTGGCGTCGAGTTGTTGGTGTCTACTGATGATTCCGTCTGGGACTATTTCTATTCGCGGAATAACAACAACGCAGAGGCGGCAGAGACCGAGTTAAGAAAATACTACGCACTGCTTGTGAACGGGGTAAGTGGGTCATCAGTTTGTTATTATAGCAGTATTCTAAATGAGTATTTAAAATATTTTTCTGTGATATAGGTCATACAATACTTTCATATTTACGTGTGCTAGGATTCCATTTTCACGGCCTGGTATTCTACTAGCCTAGCTTACCGCGGTATATAACAAATATGTGGGCCAGTATTTATCAAACTATTCGAACAGTTATGTGTTAATCATATTTCCACTTTCAGATTGACTTGCGGTACCAAAACATAGAAGACCGGGATTTGAACATTTACGTCGTTTTATCTGGATATGTTATCGCAAAGGTAAATATGTATATTCCAATCGGCAAATCAAAATTCACATGTGAAGCCAATTCAATCAATCAAATTAGAATTTACGAGCGAAAAGAAAAATACTCTTAATCAAAAACGGGGAAATTAATCTTATACTGCAATTCTTGCTATCATCAGAGCCCCAGTCAGTCCAGCTGGTTTAGCGGCAACTTGTTCTCTGGGGCCGTAAAGGACGGGCGGCAGTTGGTGAGACATGACCAGTCCCTGAATGCCTGGTGCAACTACAGAAGGGATAACCTCGGGAGTCTCCCAGAACATGACCACGGGATGGCCTTCACAATGTAGGTGTACCAAGTACAAGTGTTACTGGGCTGTCCGTCTGAACATTAACAGACTCATCTAAAATATAAGACGTGCACGTGGGTTTTCCCCTTCAAGGCATCTTGTTATAATGCAGTATATACCTTCCTTTCTATGAGCATCGTGACAGTAGTATGATATATATTTAAGTATATTCTAATTCATTCTACTTAAGTTTATTCTAAAAGTGAATAGAAGTACATGTAAATTGTTATTTGCATAAGTACATCTTATTATTTTTATTCTTTTTTATATGCAGGCGAGAACTTGCTTCTTCTACATCTGACACTAATGTGGCCGGTTATGCACCTGTTTCTGGCATTTGTTCCTTGGCCTCGTCTTGCTCTGTCCTCGAGTCACATGGTGGATTCAGCTCCTTCATTACAGCGGCTCACGAGCTGGGGCATAAGTAAGTTGCACTGACTATTTTTGGTGTCTCTCGACCCGCCGTGCGTCCCTGCACTGATGGTACCTACCCACCTACGGCAAGTTTACCAATACGACAGTTTGGTCTGCAACTACCATTTCAAAGGAAAATAGTAAACTCTATAAGAACCATATCTTATCAATTTCGCTTCTCGTTTGTTTATTCTCCTATATTCGATATAGGTATTTTATATACCTTTCTCTACTTTAATTTTCTAGTCTGGGATCTCACCACGACGGTTCCTACAGTAGCTCGTACGACAACAGGGCGTGTTCTGCATCAGCCGGAAATATCATGGCGCCCTCTGCCGGTAGCTCGAATCCAACCAACGGATACTATTTCTCCGCTTGTTCTATCGCAGAATTTAAAAAGGGGCTAGCGTAAGTATGGGGGTTTATCCTACTTCTGCCGTAGCTGCTTATTATGAGACATTCTGCAAATATTGAAGACCCAGTGAGAACAAATAAATTTGCGGACAAGAGAGGTTGGAGAGGTTACAAAAATGTAACTGGCCTTAAAGCCTACATGTAAATCAGATTTCATTATTTACTGACTGTGATTGCATTGCACGGTCCTTTCCAACCACACAATAGTATTCAAAGGTTTAGTGCTCCACCCTCCCCGCCTCTCGTTACGAGAGTGAGACTGAAATTGTGGTCATGTCGTTTTAGAGATGCGTGCTGTCTTGTGGACACCGGTACTTATGGGAATGCTGCGGAATATAATTCACACACCCAGCATCTACCAGGGCAGCTGTATTCAGCAACAGAACAATGCAGGATGCTCTACGGAGATAATTCTGTCCCAAGGAAGGTAAAAAGACTCAGTGTTCTTCTTTTGAGAAAATGTGCGCGCAAAAAAGTGTGTAATTAAAAAAAAAAGATATACAGTGTTCAATTTGTGTACGTTTTTTCTTTTGACAGCTAAAAGCTACATCTTCTGTGTCCTCTATTGTGTATGAAGCTAAAAGCTACACATTCTGTATCCTTGACTGTATATGAAAAATGTGTGTGCGTGCGTGCTTGTGTGTGCATATGTTTGCATTTATTGGCAAGCAACTTAAATTTTGCTCTACGGTTACCACTTTACTACAGTGTGAAAATATATTTACTAAACCAAAACATGTCGAGACAATTTACATGTCAGAAATTTCACCACGCCGATTACGACACACAATGATTTATTTTATTATTATTATTATTATTATTATTATTATTATTATTTTATTTATTTTTAATTATTTATTTTTTTTGCAGGAAGAAGGAGATCCCGACTTCTGTCAGTACCTTTGGTGTAGATCAGGCAACGGTTACACACATGGCTACAAACCTCCAGCAGACGGCACTGATTGTGACACAGGAAAATGGTGCATAGAGGGCGTTTGTGTCAGCAAGACGGACCCCCTCCCAAGCAGCCATGGTAGCAGCGATCAAGAGACGTCCTGGTGCCCCTATGGTACTGTCGTTTTTGTTAAACGAAATCATATCTACCGTGCATGCTTATAGTGTAAAATAACGTTTGATTCTATGCACTTTTTTCGTTTAGAACTTTCTGAACAAAGGATAACATTCCATGAAAAACCTATTACTTAAATACTACGTTTTCTTTAACATCCAACATTTATATCATTTATAGGCAGTTTTGTTTTACTTCAAATTAACGAAATTTTTATAACCAATTATCACAACAGTAACCATAATATAAGACAAGCACACTGCATGCCATTTCAAGTTCATTTAAAACTTTTTTTGGAGTCATCGTAATCTACTATGACACAGGTATGTTCATAAGGATATGTTCTTTGGATATTTCTGCAAAATAATCTCTATGCCCCAAACACAACTTCACTGGAAGTGTTTTGATTGCCACAGATCAATTAATATTGAGTTGACAAGATCAAAATCCGCTTTATGGATTTCTACATAATGAACGAACAATCCTTGCGGCACATTGCAAACATTTTTAGATTTCGAAGGTTTGTTTATACTGCACTATTCTCAGTGTGTATCTTTAGTCTTTCGTTTGAGGCCAAAAGTGCGTGTTCACATGTAAGTGCGTACGTGCTTGCGTTGCCCTAGCGTAATATGCCATTACTTAAAAAAAGCGATACACAACCCTTTATCCTAAAATAGTCGAAGTGTTTAATAAATTTCTGTTTTTTTTTTTTTTTTCAGGATGGCCAGGGGACCAATGCCCAGATTCAGATGCCCCCAGTATAAATGTAGGACAAGGTTGGGAATCTTGTAACTCTGCCATCAGAAGAGATGGAGATCGTTTGTGCGCAAACAGTCAGGTTTCAGCATCTGGTTTCTGCTGTATCCAATGCTATTACCATTCACAGTCTAAGCTGTCGGGTAAGGTGTATTCTTATGTTGTCAATTATCTATTGAACATTACTTTATGAAAGTAAAATAAGAGAAAATCTTTTTTTACATGTACCCTTTTCAGATAACGAGAATAAAATGTCCGATAATTGTTTTTAGGTTTTAACCATAAACTTTTTTGTTTCTGCGTTTAGGCTGAAAGAATTAATATCCATTATTTCACTCCAGACAAACCGGTGTAACAAAACTGAGGGTCCTTGTAACAGAAAGTCTGCCCTTTATTTAGTTATAATGGTTAGGGTAAGTCTCTCCTGAGTGCGTCAAAATCTAGGGCGAGGCTTACTTGTACAAATGAATGGGAAGCGGACTCTCTATCATGGGGGACTCTCTGTCACGTTACACCGGACAGTCATGGCCAGAATTAAGAGTGCCTCCTGCCCCAGTTATAGTTACATGTAGTCTACGGCTAAGAGTCGGGTTAATCTGAAAAATGTAAGAAGCAAGTACATCTTTTTCTTAACCGATGTACGGCAACAATTATATAGCAAACGTCATATAACGATAAACAAAAAAGCGAATTTCTCACGATAGGTGTGTGGGGCGAATGGCAAAATTGGGGTGGCTGTAGCGCTAGTTGTGGCGGAGGAACTCGCACGAGATCTCGCAGTTGCCCACAGACTGGCACGTGCGCAGGAGAGGCGACCCAAACCTCACAATGTAACACGGATTCCTGTGCAGGATCTGGCACAACTTGTGAGTGTAATATGTTTATGTTTTATCACCATTGCACAGTAGGAGGATATATATATATATATATATATATATATATATATATATATATATATATGTGAAAACTGAGTCTTAAGAAAGATTACTCAGGCCCGTAGCCAGGGGGGGTTCGGGGGGTTCGAAAGAACCGCCCCTTTTGCTGGAAAAGGGTCCACTCTGGGTAAAATTTTATCTAGGTACATGAAGTTTTTATGGGAAAAGGTCCTCTTTTTCAAAAAAAGAGCCCCCCTTTTGAAATTACTGGCTACAGGCCTGTTACTAGTGGCAATATGTATTCCAAACCATTTCTTATACATGTAAATGCTTTTTACCGACTAATTTGGCCGCATACAGGGCTGTCTTCCGTTCATCTGTTCGTCTGATGTTGAAATTGAAGTTGATTTCTGGTTTGTCCGCGGCTTTGTACATTGGTTTCATTTAGCTCAGAGACTTTAACTATCGTTTGTAGCGCCCTCTTGGGGTCCCTGGGGCGGATGGTCAACTTGCACAAGGACATGTGGCGGCGGTACCCTGTCCAGAGACAGAGCCTGTGAAGGTGGCTCTTCATGCCTCGGCGTGTCCTCCGAGACCCAGGAGTGTAACACCAATGAATGTCAGGGTAGGGCAGTTGTCTCCAAATATGTCAATCACCGAGTTAAACTTGACTGGAAATAGCATTGGCCATGTCAGCCAAGGATCTGTGTCGGTTAAGGGTTGATAGAAATATGTCCATCAGTTATTACTCCCAAAACGGAAAGGAGTAAACAAAAAATGAACTGAACTCTAGATAAAGTAAATTGCTGAATCTTGTAGACAATTACATATTTATTTTGCGTACTTTTCTTCTTAACTGCAGCTAGACACCTTTTTTAAAATCTATATGGTTTCAAGTATCCTAACAAAATTTATCTGTAACATGTGGAAATATGGTATGTCTCTGAGGAAAGAAAGTAACTGAATAACCGTTTTCTAACTACGGAATAAGACAATAAGAGGTTGTGTCTGTTGTTCCTTTTAACATTTGTAGTGTGAAAGTGTATGTGTCGGATAACCAAAGCGACGGTGAGGATGACGGCGAAGATGTAGATAGACGAAGATGATTAAAGGATATAGTGAAGCTTAAATACCATGTCTGTAAATAAACATTCACAAGAACAGAAGTTTTCTATCCCTTCACATACAGTCGCTGCATACTCGTGATACGCGTACACTTTGCATCCAATCTTTTTTTCTCTGATTTCAGTATCTACCGTGGACGGTAATTGGAGCGACTGGGGAACTTGGTCTGCATGCAGCGTCACCTGCGGTTCTGGACAGAGGACTCGAACCAAGACGTGCAATAACCCAGCGCCATCTAACGGTGGATCGTGGTGTTGTCATAACGGACAGTGTCTGTATAACAGTTTGAGAAGTACTGGGTCCTGTAATGCTGGCTCATGCGGTGGAGGTATCATCCATATTTTGGATATGATTTAGAATGTAAAAAAATATGTTCATCATGAGAAATTTAAAAGAGGAAGACAGTCGCTTAAACCCCCCTGTCCTAAAACGAAAATCTAAATTTAGATACTATTGTACGTGTAGGACTTTTAATGTTGTGCTCATTCACTTATAGGCCTATTGTTTTTCCAATATGATACAAGAGGGTAAAACTTGAAATGCTTTCTAATATAAATTAAGCCATTAAATACCCCCTAACGACCGGGTGTACAACAAATGAATTAGGACCACAACTACCGGTACATATACCACCGCTATGAATTTAACGTTGCTTTGTTCATTTGCTTTTACAGGTACATCGTCTTGTACCACTGATGCCTACTCCTGGTGTCCGTCTTATGCCGCCTACTGCAGCAGCCTAGAGTTCCTGCAGGAGAATTGTTGTGCCACTTGTGCATAGTCATAGGTAAAGGTTCCACGTGAAGACACATGGTAAGGGTTTTGGTAAATTGTCTTAAACATGTAACTTCCATGAACTAGTTTTGTTGCTTTTCGATCCGTTTCTCAAATAGAGTCAGTTCCAACCTGCTTCGTTTCACCTTCCTGAGGTGCTGGGACTAATTTCAAAAATAAACAGCAGTCCAAAAGTTGGTCCCAACTTTGAGGTTTAAAGCTCCCTTAAATTGGCAAAATGTTGGGTTGACACTGTGACCACTTTTCCAAAAAGAAAGGGAGATTAGAATTTTTTAAAAAATGCTGTCGACTCGTTATGTGGTTTGAATCAAAATGCAGACGTGAGGAAAACACTTGTAGTCAAAGTTTTGGTTCAGTTTTGTACTGTACGGTACACTGTCGTTACCCCCCCCCCCCTTGCCCAATTATTACATTCAGAGAAACTCCAGCTTTTATTTGCAACCGTGTTTGTATAAGCTTTAGTATACATGTACATATATTCAGTTTAAATGCCTAGTCGCCAGTTATAATTTACATCGAATACAGGTATAAACAACCCAGGTTTTTTTTCAGAACGAGCAATGAAATCCCAAGATATCATTCAAAACATAAGAGAATTATGAAAACCAGAAAAGTATAGCTGGTGGAAAATCTGGAGTATGACTTGTGCAGCTTGTTTTGTTTCTATCTAGGCACAGACTCTTTCAACTAAAACTCGCCACAGGTGATACGAGTACAAACGTTTTTAATGAAGAAAGGAAAGAGGTTTATTTTCTCTTTGACAAATAGAACTACAGGTTAATTTCAGATAGGGATTTATTACATCATTAATTTGAAAAAATAATTTCAGCCTGCTAATACTGTGTTGTGTTAATAAGTTCACTACGATGAACTACATTTCAATATATTATTTTTATACATGTAACTACAATACTCAAGCAGTCATGCTCCATGGATCAAATATAATTCTAATAAATGCTATATGCTCAGTGATTATGTATTGCTTTGTCGTCGTGCACAAATCATACTTTGTATATATATATATATACATACAAATTAATATTATGCAAAATTACATTTCAGCACTTCAATACGTGCGTCCTCTTCCATTTGTCTTTTATATAATTATATAGTAGTAGCGGTTTATTTCACTGAATGTGTGGCAACCAACATTAACGACAAGAATAATGCCCAATCAAAAAAAAAAAATCATTTTGATAGAGATATTTTGTCAACTACTGTAAAACAGTATGACCAGCGCTGAAACAACTATCCCTGCAACTATCTCCGCCTTATTACAATAAACACAGTATTGAATTAAAGCTACTCTCTTTAAGAGATGAGGTCATTTCTGTGTAAAATACACAGTAGAATATCCAGTGAAATACCTTTCTGTGATCCCAGTAGAGAGTAATTAAAGTATAACTTGCAAAAACATCAAGCCCTTCTCCCTTGATGTGTAGCTATACGCGCACTAATACGTATTGTATGTATTCTACAAAAAAGAAACACGTATTTGCATACACAACTGACAATATATGGGCGGTTTTACTTTCTATGTGATTATTATATGCGACTTTTAAGTGTCAATCAAATACATTTTCTTCCTCAGTGTGGAGACAAATATAGGCATTTGTTTAGCAACAGTCTTGATTCCGTTTGACTCTAGAGGCAATGTTAAATCTGCTACACGTCGTGACGTTTCCGTCAAAATGTCCACAAAGTGTTCATTTCTGTGGTAGGTGTCTATAACCTGACAGAGGTTGTATATAAACCAAGAACCTTTATCCGTCTGTCGCCATGCAATGTGACCTAAAATATACACATTCATTTATTATTCGGGTTGGGAATATGATTTTACTTGAAGACACGAAAAAAAAATCTATTTGCATCATTACTCAGCAAATCCCCAACCCATTTGTCTTATGTTATTAACGTTTTAAATGTTCACCATATGAAAACTTAGTGCCCTATTTTGAGATGCCTTGACTTTGCACAGCGTATTTTAAACGCAGGCTTACACAGACCTTCGGTTGTCCCTAACCCAACAACTCACCTGGAGTTGTCGCATACGCCACTAAGTTATCTGCATCGATTGGCGTGGAAATTTGGATCCGCAAATTTTCCATCTGCAAGTTGAGGTACTCGGTGTCGTCGACAGGGCAAGTATCTGGCCGTAGTGTCGCCTTCTGATGATCTTCACCGCGGCAAGCTTGTATAATAATCACCTTGGGCAAGTCTGGAAGCAAAATGAACTTACGTAGCCAAATTATACACATATACCAGACATGGAAAATGACTAAATTCTGAAGACTAAGAGTGAGAACATATTAATCCTGTAATATTATAAATACATTTATCAGTCTGTCGCAAATATATATATATGAAAGAACCAAATAAACGATGTAAATTGCCAGTGAATCGACAGATAGATAAATTAGGTGATTAATGCTACTGTATATCTATACCTATCATGAGCGGTGTATCTCGGAATATCTCAGTTATTTCGTTTACTGTTATGATTTTATTGTCCCAGGTTTTACCATCAGTTTTGCAGGTGCGAATTCCATCCTTAAACAAAAACGATACCAAATAATTTAAAAAAAAACATATTACACAAGAATATGCTAATAACCTCAATTTCAGTGATTTTATGTCGTAATTCAGTGCAACATCCACAACCATGAGTGCAAGTACACAATGAAATACTAATAGATGGCTAGTATTAAATGTGCAAGAATACTCAAACACTGGACTTAAGAATATGTCTTAAGTCGATTTTTAAAATCGTTGATAAAATCGCCCGTACTTTCAGTTTGACGTACTCCAAGCCTGAGACATTTTAAAAGTCTTGTCAAAAAGGAATCATCTTTATTTTCGACATTGCATGCTGAGTTTAGATCCCTAGCTACAAGATGTGTTCAATAATATTTCTAATAGATAAGGAATGGTAATTGATAAAATGAGATGAACTAAAGTGGTGCATGAAATGTTGAAAATGATTTTGGTCGGTCTATTCGAAATAACCATAATCATTTATCAACACTATTCAATGTCATATATATGTTTATCATTAATCTGCTTCATTTCTTTTTATTAACGGGACCTTCAATAAATGCGGCCGTCAGCGGTCAAATTTAGAAAATTATACTTCAGTTTGTTCTATTCTTTTAACTGTCATGTCCTATTACTTAAATCAGCTTAGATCAAGGAGACATAAATTGCTTTGTTTTGACTTTTTTCGCTTGTTAGATATTATTTTTATATTTTGGGAGGGGGTGGAGTTTTGGGGGAGAACCTATGAACCTTCTCACTAGATCACACTACATTGGCCTACGTGCCAAAAATATGTACCTTATCTCCATGACTCAGTATTATCAGAAAGAATCGGTTGTATCCCGGAGGCTCCTGCAGCATGTCCTTTATGTGCTGTAATTTGCTATCCAGCAGCTCTCTTGACAAGTTTGTGTAACCTGGCCCTGTGAGCACCGTGTATTGAAGTAGACCATCAAATACTCTCTGTATATGCCTCACGTCAAGCTCTGAACCTAGAAAAAATAAGTAAGACAATTGTCAAGACCACAATTTAAACGTTGACTTTTGTACATGTAACTCGACCCGTAAACCTTATGTTCAAACTTGGTGAATATATGCTTCAAACCAAGTCCCACTATGCTCGATATGTCATTATAAAAACATTTTAAAACTGCCTCGGCAAGAAAGGTATTAAATCGGTCCCGTACAGTTTAGAAAATGCATTACATGACCGCTCGATGTAACACTTGTGACAACATGTACGACAACCTTGGATCTTGTTTAGCACAGAAGTGAGAGAAAAACAATAACTACAACATACTCCTCGTCACTATCATAACATTACTTATCGATTATATCAAATAAATGTTATAGAAAAAAGTCCCTGTTTAATATACATGTAAAACACTAGCTCGCATCACACCTGGCCAGATAAACAATATCACGTGACCACATTACTACCAAAATCTCACATTGCCTCATTCGACGTTATAATTCCGCAGATCATTTAAAAAACACACAAATGTGTACGTTAGACCGCCTCTATAAAAATCTTATCTAATGATTTTATTTTATCTGATACTGGTACCTTCTCTTTCTTCTGTGAAATTGTTGATGATGACGACAAGGCCATTGCGACGGAGTATCTCCGTAGGGTAGACACGTTCTGAAGGCTGTGGACTAAATCCAGGGGCCACCTGCACAGGATACCTTGGCGTCGGCGAAAATGTTTCGGAGTCAAAGGAAGAACCTGTAACAATAACGAGGTGAAGAAGAAGAAGAGGAAAAAAAGAAGGAGATCTGCTTATATGTCGATCGAGTTCGATAAAACTGTCACTGAAAAGACAACGGTAAACCTAGAGTACAAAAAAAGGAAAAATAAAAGAAATAGAATTTGAGAAAAGGCACAGCTGTGCATAGAAACCAATTGGCGTTTATACAAACTGGGCGTATTTTATTATCTTGGATATGTATATCTTAGGGCATAAGTCGGGGACCATGTCATCCAGCTCGTCCATTCGAATGCACCGCCCATCTACATGTACCCTGGTATCATTATTTTAATAATTCCCGTTGTCCCTTCAAAATATGTACAGTGTAAAAGCGACTGGACGTGAATTTGTCCATGGGGTGAATGATTCCATTTTTTTCACACGAAGATTCTTTCATTTGTGCCCTTGTAGAACCATGTATGAAAGAAGATCCCCTATGCTTTTTATATGTTATATGTATTTTTCAGTATTAAAGCCCAACGCAGTGGCCCAGATATCCATTGGGAGCCGGGCGACGGGGGATGATTAGTTGTTAATTTTTTACGAATTTTTTCATAATTTTCATAAGTTCATTGTTGATGAATCTTACGTGTAACAACGCTCGTTAACACTTAGGCAATAGAACACCTGGTATGTATCTCTGGGGAGGATGATCGTATTTTTTTCACACAAAGAATCATCTCATCGATATTTTTTAGTAGCCACGCATTAAGGCAGACTTGGTGTGCTGTTATTTAGTTTAGAACTTATATTCTAGATCCAAACAGCAGCACAGGTTTCCGTGGTGGTAGGATCCTTGAGGGTGAGCTATTCTTGACAAGGGACGTGCGATCATCGACATCGATAGGAGGAGCCTCTGCTTTTGAATCAACAATCGTTTCATTATTGTATACACGGAGTACATGTAGTGCTACGGGACGAAATCGATAAAAGAATGAATAACATATTTGTAGTAAAATTGCTGAATTGATCTCTTACTACATGTTACTGTGACAGCCCTATGATTTCAGTTTTAAAAAAATACTTATCGTTTCATTTATGCATAAATATATTTACTTGCTCGTTCATTTGTCTATTGATTACTTTCAGTTTATTCATTTTATATGTTATAGTTTTTTTCATTCTTTTCTGAACAGGAGACAAATCAAAAGGAGTCTTTTTATAAAATTATTATTATTAATATTATTATAATTATAATAATAATAATAATTATTATTATTATTATTACATTAATTTATCAACACATTAGTCTACACAGCCTTGACTGCAACATACCTGTACTCGCGTCCGTACCAAGCCGTGACCTCTTCCTTCTAAGTTCAGGGCCTAAAATATTAAACCGTAAATAATCACAAATATCATTATAATGTAATTAACAACACAAACAACAGGCGGATCTTCGCGTTTTTTATCAGCACTTACTGAGAGGTGCCATACATATCGATAAATACAAAGACCATTACAGAGGTAGTGCTTAAAAAGATGCCTCAATTAAAAACACAATTAAAATTTAAAAAATCAGAGTATCATTTCTTCAGTTGCTGCAAGGGAAGGAAGGACTTGAAAATCTATTTACTTTTTGAAAATGCTGTGGACCTGGGATTAACATGCTATGTACAGTCACCAATCTATACTTACCCCGGTACTTGTGCACTGGTAAGTAAAAGTGCTACATCATTTTTGAACCTCTTAATGTATGTGGGTATGAAATTATAGCACGTTCTTGTGTGCTTACAAAACAATACAATACAATACAATACAATACAATACAATACAATACAATACGAATTTGTAATCACCTGGAGTCTCGTATGTCCCAGCTTCCATCGGTCTGACCTCTAGAGATGGTCCTAATAAAAACATCATCTTATATGTTAAACAGAGAAGTTAGCAGCTCACCTGACACAATAAAACGCATGACCTAAATAGTGCGCCAATACCGCATTAAAATCTAAAAACGTTCTATCAATGCATAGGCTATTGATAAATCATAAGGCATCTTATAGTGCTTAGGTTATTCACTGACCTCAAAAATTAGTTATAGATAACCCATGCCCGTCGATAAGCCATTGACACAGATATAGTTTGTTCCCTCATAGCATTACCGGTATATCTCATCTTTACATACATCCGGTTTTTCCAACTGGAGAATATTAAGATTACAAGGGATTTGCTTAAAGTGAAAGTAAACGGAAAAATCTAAAAACAAAAAGACATGTTGACACAACCAGTAGGCTCATTTCATAGTGTCCATACATTAATAATAATTAAAATCAATACGGAAATATGAAGGTGAGAGGACAAGGTACTAGTGCACAGATCTATATGTACCTAAAATACATATACTAATAGCGATAAACACACTAGATTTGCTACGCACAGTAAATGCATCAACTGAATCAATGACACAGACGGCGTGGGGTTGTACATGTACTTACTCTCAGCTCTAATACGCGCCTCGGCGTCTTTTATTGTCGTTACCAGGCCATTAAGACCAGCATGTTGGAACATATCTTTCAAACGGTCATACTTTCCAACCGCCAAAATACCGACGTTCTCCATTGTATTCATTAAATTCAATGAGTCTTTAGCTTTTGCTAGACGTCCTTGGCCAATATCTCCACTCAGCAGTCTTTTGAGATTATCAAGATATTGCTCGTCATCAATATCTTCGGACAGCTCAACTAACAGTTTCCTGTGCATATCTTTCTGGTTTGCTGAAAACGGCATGGTCACAAGGATCACATGTGTTGTTTTAAGAATTCCGTCTTAGTCGAGGAGATCGTGGATTTTGACGTGAATATGCCTGGATAAAAATATAATTCCTTGGGATCTTGTTGCGCGATCTGTACCTGGTTTGAATTTAAACCATCATTGCATCAAGGAGTTATAACAGAGTTGTAACTCCTTGATTGCATGTACAAAAATGTGTGTAGCTTTGTGTCCTTTACATATACAAGCTCAGCTGCTTAACGTAAACAGGTCGAATTCTATATGCCACAATAAAAAACCCCAGTAAGCTGATACGACAACAAAAGTCCTATTTTCTAACACATTTCCGTTGCGTTGCATAATAGTCCAGGAAATTGGTGAAAAATTGTGCATTTTTTACCTACAAGCATGAAATTTGGCACAGTTGTAGAGAATGAAATTCTAAGCAAATTTGGATATATGGGCATGTCTGAAAATTCCAAAATGGCCGCCAAATCCAAGATGGCCGCCAAAAATACCCTATTCAATTAAAACTTCAAGGGTATAGTCTTTAAATCGGTAAAATATCATGTTAAGGTTAGAAAACACAAATTTAATATCAATATCAACTTTTTTGGGTCTATAAAATCCAAAATGGCCACTAAAAGTTATAAATAACAGTTCATTAATACAAGATATTCCAGAAAATGGTGAATTTATCGTGCATTTAAACCTAAAAGCATAACATTTAGCCCAATTGTGGAGCAGTGGAATTTTTTAGCAAATTTAGATATATGGGCATGTCTGAAAATTCAAAAATGGCTGCCAAATCCAAGATGGCCANATACAATACAATACAATACAATACAATACAATACAATACAATACGAATTTGTAATCACCTGGAGTCTCGTATGTCCCAGCTTCCATCGGTCTGACCTCTAGAGATGGTCCTAATAAAAACATCATCTTATATGTTAAACAGAGAAGTTAGCAGCTCACCTGACACAATAAAACGCATGACCTAAATAGTGCGCCAATACCGCATTAAAATCTAAAAACGTTCTATCAATGCATAGGCTATTGATAAATCATAAGGCATCTTATAGTGCTTAGGTTATTCACTGACCTCAAAAATTAGTTATAGATAACCCATGCCCGTCGATAAGCCATTGACACAGATATAGTTTGTTCCCTCATAGCATTACCGGTATATCTCATCTTTACATACATCCGGTTTTTCCAACTGGAGAATATTAAGATTACAAGGGATTTGCTTAAAGTGAAAGTAAACGGAAAAATCTAAAAACAAAAAGACATGTTGACACAACCAGTAGGCTCATTTCATAGTGTCCATACATTAATAATAATTAAAATCAATACGGAAATATGAAGGTGAGAGGACAAGGTACTAGTGCACAGATCTATATGTACCTAAAATACATATACTAATAGCGATAAACACACTAGATTTGCTACGCACAGTAAATGCATCAACTGAATCAATGACACAGACGGCGTGGGGTTGTACATGTACTTACTCTCAGCTCTAATACGCGCCTCGGCGTCTTTTATTGTCGTTACCAGGCCATTAAGACCAGCATGTTGGAACATATCTTTCAAACGGTCATACTTTCCAACCGCCAAAATACCGACGTTCTCCATTGTATTCATTAAATTCAATGAGTCTTTAGCTTTTGCTAGACGTCCTTGGCCAATATCTCCACTCAGCAGTCTTTTGAGATTATCAAGATATTGCTCGTCATCAATATCTTCGGACAGCTCAACTAACAGTTTCCTGTGCATATCTTTCTGGTTTGCTGAAAACGGCATGGTCACAAGGATCACATGTGTTGTTTTAAGAATTCCGTCTTAGTCGAGGAGATCGTGGATTTTGACGTGAATATGCCTGGATAAAAATATAATTCCTTGGGATCTTGTTGCGCGATCTGTACCTGGTTTGAATTTAAACCATCATTGCATCAAGGAGTTATAACAGAGTTGTAACTCCTTGATTGCATGTACAAAAATGTGTGTAGCTTTGTGTCCTTTACATATACAAGCTCAGCTGCTTAACGTAAACAGGTCGAATTCTATATGCCACAATAAAAAACCCCAGTAAGCTGATACGACAACAAAAGTCCTATTTTCTAACACATTTCCGTTGCGTTGCATAATAGTCCAGGAAATTGGTGAAAAATTGTGCATTTTTTACCTACAAGCATGAAATTTGGCACAGTTGTAGAGAATGAAATTCTAAGCAAATTTGGATATATGGGCATGTCTGAAAATTCCAAAATGGCCGCCAAATCCAAGATGGCCGCCAAAAATACCCTATTCAATTAAAACTTCAAGGGTATAGTCTTTAAATCGGTAAAATATCATGTTAAGGTTAGAAAACACAAATTTAATATCAATATCAACTTTTTTGGGTCTATAAAATCCAAAATGGCCACTAAAAGTTATAAATAACAGTTCATTAATACAAGATATTCCAGAAAATGGTGAATTTATCGTGCATTTAAACCTAAAAGCATAACATTTAGCCCAATTGTGGAGCAGTGGAATTTTTTAGCAAATTTAGATATATGGGCATGTCTGAAAATTCAAAAATGGCTGCCAAATCCAAGATGGCCACCAGGATAAAAACAGTTATCCTAGCTTTTTAACTTTATGTGAGTTATTTCAAAGTAATAATGTTAAGAAAACATTGCACATGCATGTTTAAACAAGTTTGGCCTTTGTATGTTAACAAAAAATCAAAATGGCCGTCAAAAATTAAATAGCAGTGCACCTAACCCAGAATTTTATCTTTCTTAATAAGAAAAAAGAAACATATTTCTCCTGTTGGTATGAGGTGCAAGAACACAATATTCACCCTTTATTTCATTATTAGATTGCAAATCATGACAGTCTCAGTGATTGCAAAAGAATTCTTACACATACTCATGCATTTTAGTTTCTCTCACAGTTTCCACCACACCTGCAAAGTGCAGTGCACTGGAGAGCTGCTTTTACGCATTTACATCTCCCACTGCACCCTCCTTCCACTTTACAAGAGCATTTCAGCAGTTCTTGGCAAGATTTACTGGCATCTGGAAGTAGTGTCCATACAGGTCTCCACGCATGGCTTTCCATGCTTTTGGCATAGCCCCACTCACTAGGGCAGGGCATGAATGGGTCTCTAATGAGTGCTTGTCCCCAACAGAAGCCTGCCTGATATGATGCTCGCATTACGTGTTGGAGAAGTGAGGCTTCGGTTGGGGGTATATTTTCTAGAGATCTGCCCTTCTGGGTAAAAAGAACTAGCCTTGCTTCATTGACTGACATGCTTGTACTGGCACGGTCATACATAAGTACAACAAACCTCTGAATGACTGCCATCACCTCTGGAATGACGTCACGGGTTGGATTGATACTAAGGGCCTTGAAAATTGGAGTTACATCTTCGAATATCATCCAAGTTGACCAGCCTGTAGCCTTTCCTTTCCCATAAAAGAATGAGACCTGATCACATCCTGTGAATGCATGGAATGTCAAAAGTGCACGGCTTCGTTCAGGGCCCAAAGTGGAAGCAATATCATGACATGGAATATAGCGAAAGTGCCCTTTTGTCCCAAAGGCCACCCACAGCTCATCAAGGCCTGTCTCCATAACTAAAGCCACAGCCAACACAACAACATCTGTGTCAACTGTCCTGAGTAAGGCTCTTCTTGAACCACACATTGCAGCATCAGCAGCATGAAGAAGAAGCCTTGTGTCTGCTTCCTCCTGGGTACATGGTGCTAATCTACTAAGGTCCTTATCTGTATTGCATAATGCTACATTTCCTTTAGTTGAAATGATCTGTTTTTCACCACTTTCTATCAGGATGGTCTGCTCTGCCAGGTAATGAAACAGCTCAGTTTTGTTTTCATCAACTCTGAGGAAGGCTTCCCAGTTGCCTGGTAGTCTTGAATGTGGTTCCACACGCCTGCGCTGTCCCTGTCCACGTTTTGATCTTGCCATGGCCTTTAAACTGTGAGGAACATAGACATCCCAGACTATATCCACTCTGCTTGCATTTTGCAGCTGTTTTGTGACATATGGAAGAAACATTAATGTGGCATAATCCTGAAAGGTTTTAATATTGGTACCTGGTTTCAGCATGTTCACAACCGCCGCCCCGTCTAGCAAGACAACATCAATTTCTGGTGCTCCTGGGTTAGGATTGCAGAGTTTCTCCAAGCAGCCAATAAGGTCAGATTTGTTGCCAGATCTCAAATTCCCATATTGTGACAGCGAGGGTGGGAAACTCTGATTCTCATGGCTGAAAAATTCCACGAGATTGCCTTCTCGGACCTGACATGAAATATACAACTGGGAAAATAAACTACAATCTTTCTTCAAAGATGAAATTTGTAGCTTATCATTCTTTCTTCCCTTTTGGCCAGGCTGATAACTAAATAGCACAAACTGGTTTTTCTTTATAACTGCATCTAAGGGCACATTTTGCTTAATCAATCGATCTTCAACAAATGCTGCATACTGCTTCTCTCCAACATCACATACACTGTACACGCTTTTTTTCATTTCATCTGGAGCAATATCTCTTGAATCTAGTACCAGAAGATCTTGACTCTGTTCTTGGAAAGGGTTTCCCACCTCTTCTATTGTACTGACAAGGGATGCCACTTGTCTCATGAAAACAGTTCGAGTCCCCTTTACCTGTTCATGGTGGAATACATCTGGTCCTTTGACTTGGATGATATCTTGCGATGTCTCAAATTCACCAATGGCTCTTGCAATTTCTGGACCACACACCATCCATCGTAATAACTGGGTAGAATTTTCAGTGAGGCCTATAGCTCCCCCGTCACCTTTTACACATTTATTGTTTTGCTCATGTGCTTGGTCAATGGGGATGGCAGAAAAGGGGCGTCCAGACTTGCGTATGACAAAGTACCCCTCTCTGAACTTTGAAGCAATTTCTGGGTGTGTAGCATCAAGGACAGACATATCTCGGATATGTACGGGAAGCCATCGTGCATAATTAGTGTGGTTAAGAGCAAATAACCATGGCACCAATTTCACCAGAGATTCTTTGTAGAGTTGAAAATTTGCCTCTCGTAGAGACTGCACAAACAACAATATTGTCATCTGAAAATCAAGGGTGATGGACCAAAATTGAAACTGGGGAATTTCTGCAGCTCTGCATTCTCTCCAGGTCTCAAACTCCACAATCTCACTAGGTACAATTCTGTCGCACCAGATTTTGTAGGCCTTGTGCATCAGAATGTAGAGAGCGCCAACTGTAACTTGATGGACATGCAATGTGCGCGATACATGGGAAGCTGTAAGAAAGGAATCTGCAGTGCCCACGGAGGCTATGTCGGCTGTGACTAAGCAATTTGTCCAACCACTACCTTCCAGCCAACTCCCAAGTGCCTTCATCACAGCCATTTCTATATGGAGACCCCCAAGCATCACCACTAATTTATCTTCCCCATATAACTCTGGCCAGTGCCACTGTATACGTTTGGCTACTGCATATAAAGGCTGATCACACACAATTATGGGAGACTGACCAGGGTTAAGGAATTCAACTGATGTTTTCACAACATCTATGGCATGCTTAATCATGGCGACTGATTTTGCTTCTTCTTGGAACAGAGGTAGCAGTGTACTAATTGATGGAGGGTCCTCAGAAACATCGGCACTACTGGCATAGAAAGACGCCCAGGTAACATTCTTCTCATTTGATTCTCTGGGATTCGTTTCTAACTCATTTTGGATATGATCAAGCCATGCGTACTGCCTTCTATACATAGCAGGCAAAATCTGAAACTGGACATTAGGAAGGCAAGGAACTGGTGGAACTGAAGGTGTCTTCGTCCATGCCTCAACTGGATGGACGGTACTGTATACCTCTGGCAATGGTGAAAGAGTCCTCTTTTTCTGTGCGTCTTGTGCTGTGCGAAATATAATCCTTTCCTCGCCGGGGATTTCTTTTGTTGGTTGCTGAAAGAGAGAAATACCTGTCCCATGCAAAGATCCTTGAGCAGTGGTGGAGGTGGGATTGTGATCAATGTTATCCACGGCACCAATGGTGAGTATACCTTCCCGAAGCTTTGATGGACACACTGCCTCCTCTATTTCAAATTGAGAACAGATTTGATTACCCATCTCTGTAGAAATATCCAAAACTCTACTGTAGGAGATGGAGAGTCCAAGACCATATAATCTGTCTACCAAACCACGCTTTCGTGTTTTGGCATGGAGGAGAAGACCTAGGTATACTGGCAGTGGAGGTTCACGCAAGATTGAATGATGCACTGTACTCGTAGATTCCTTTCTACGTCGAATGGAAGAATTGAAGATTATTAGCTGACTTAAGCTTAATGCCACTTGTTCTTCAACAGCATTGCTTGACTGGGATTTGATATTTGGACCAAGTAGTATCATAGATACCAAAACTTTTAGGGAATTGGGAACTGAATCTTGTTGGCAAGATTTGCTAAATGAACCATTAAAGTTACTGTACGCTTGGTCAAACATTCCGCGACGAATAATCTTAGCAGCTTTTGCTAAAATCAAAACATCATCAGTAACATTACTCTTACAGGTATATGCATCCTTGAGCACTGTCCCCACGTCTTCTCTAAATGCCAGGAGAACATTTTTTCCGTCCTTACAACACTGCATTTCTGGAAAATGTGACATGATTTGGTCTTTGAGTCTGGTAGTGTGAAGGTACTGTTGGGATGCTGTATCCTTTTCAAGTTGCTTAACCCTAGCAATATACATTTTTTTCAAATCTGCAAGTCTAAAGACCTTGATAGAATCCCCACATATGCCATCCCGGCTTTCCTCAATATAACAAATCAGCTCAGCTAAAGCAATAGCATGAGACTCTCTATCATCTGTGCTACTTGTGTCTTCTTGGGCTTTTTTTGCTTTGTCATACAGTGCCAGCAAGCAAGCTGGATGGTACATTGCATCTTGGGCAACCATGTCACCGCCACTTAATTTGGCAATTAAGACAGTATCTTGTAACGTCAATGCACATTCCCTCACCCTAGAGTCAATTTTGAAGGTAGATGCTTTCCTCAATTCACCAGAAACCTTTTCGCAGAAAAAGCATTTGTTTGAAGGGCTTTCAGAACATCTAGCACCCAAGCTATGTCGAGTTAC